GAACATTCCAGTCATTTTATTGATTAAATAATCACCACGAAATTAACAAAATGTTAATAATAAAAGTTAGGGAGAGTGACGGTCTTGCTACACTTCATAAAACATTATTTTAAAAAATGTTTTTAATTCAGAAAAATTTTATCATTCTTTACCAAATGTTACAATGGGAGCATTGGCCATTTTTAGTGGAATAATGACATTAATTTCCATACCCCAGACGACAACTAAGGACAACCCATGCCAGACACCGTCGAAGAAGCATTGAATAATAATCAGCAATATTATCTACAATCTATTTTAATACCTGCGATAAACAATTACAGAATTGGTGATAAGACGTCCATACGATAAGTTTAAAATATTTACTAATAAATTTATACCTAATACTTCAATTAGGATTAAAGTAAAAGAACACCGATTTTGAATATTTTGTAGTTTCTTTTATATTGTGTTTTTACAAAGTTAATTTTTTTTCCAACTTTATTTGAGTGCATTAAGACTAGTTGAGTTGGCAAAGTAATATGTCAAAATTATGATAAATTTTTGTTGTTGTCAATGTTCATGAAAAAACATAATGTAGCTGTAATAAAATATAGAAAGGTTTTTAATTTGCGATGAAATTCTTAATTTAGAATTTACTGTTGGAGAATATGTAGTCTTGCTCCACAAATTTAAATCTGCCATCTGTTTACATATATAACTGATCAACGTTTTTTTAGTATTGGGATAATTTCTGGCTGAGTGATTGATCATCAAGAAGGGGGAATTTTTCTCAACAATAGAGAAATTCTTAACTTGACAGACAACATATATCTATTGCATAAACCGGTGTTTTGAATCTGTAAGTATTTTTAATAACTATTGTTCTTGGATTATATAAATGCAACTTATTCATTTATCATCATGGAAACTACATACCTCACACTGAGTTACTGACATTCACTAGAATATTTTGCAAAGATTCATGTCCTGCCTATCTTCAATATGTATACACAACTATTCAATAACCCATAAAAATTGATTGCAGGGCCATTTGAATGTTTGAAGCCAGATTTATCGTTACGGTGCCCTTTTTATTGAATGAATTTAGTCGCATTTTTTCCTGTATTCAAAAATGAGAACAAACTTCTTCCATCTTTAATTAAAAAAGAACTAATATCATTCTTACTCTTCTTCCTAATACCTTTTTTCATCATTTTAACTCATTTTAACCTGCGTCATATCACAATGGAATTTTTATATGCGTTATAGACTTTACGTAAAAGTATGACATACTTTAGATTTATATGATATATACTGATTCTATGCAATAACAAGTAAAATTCAGTTTGAACAAAATCAAATGGATCGAAAAAAAAAACTTTATTCCGTCGAAAAAGTATATGGTCGACATGGCTACCCAAACAAAGCGAGTGATGGAAGTCTCAATAGCTCAGTTCTGATAACGCCCTGTGTTCACTTAAAAATCAAATCTTGTTTTAAGCAAGCGAGCTAGTAGCGTTCACTGCCCTGGATTTAAAACTCGAGCTGTTGCTGAATACCAACAAAGATATTCTGCTAGTCTGCGAGTCGAAAAGGGTTTATTTTTAGTACTTTCATAATCATAACTAACGCTAATACCATAATATATGATTGGAAATAATAACATTTGCTCTAACGTGGCCGGGGCTAGGGAGTTGTGCAAAAAGATTTGTGTTTGAACTACCGTTTTGAATCAAGTTTTTACCTGTTTTGTTTAAAAATGGCTGATTTATTTGTTTCTTTTGTATGAAATAGGATAAAACGATAAAATGGATGATAAACTTGCTTATCGATTTTTATCCTTAACTTATTCTTCGAAATGACACGTGTACCGATGACTTGCTCGTATGCGCGCTCTCGAGCTGTAGCATAAGGCTTCACCACGTGTTAGAGTTGTGACCCACCAGATAACCAGGCAGTGAGATTTTCGATTTCAATTATGCTATTATGTAACGCTGTATGCCGCTTCGTTTGCCAACAACAGCGGTGGTCGGTACCGTGACGAAGTATCTATTAAAGGCCTGCAAAGAGAACGAAGAGAAAGTTGGATATGGCCCTTTACCGCAGGGGTCTCCAACTCAAAATATGTCACGGGCCCCTTTTTGAACTTTTTTGACCACGCGGGCCGCAATTCAACAAATTAGGTACAGAATTTATACACAAAAGATAACAAAAAAATATCTGAATGGTTTTGTTGAAATCACACCTGAATCTTTCGCCTAACGAGACAAGAAAGATTGCGTTTGTTTGCTAGTCGTAAGGCAGCATGCAAATGCTCATCCGTTAGTCGTGTGTTAGCTCTTATTGTTGAAAAAAATTGCTGAAAATTACTTCACAAGCCTTCAACACATACCATTTAATAAAGTTTTCTCCAACGAAAGGACGCGATGATTTCGCAATTATCTCACTTGTGGCAAAGCTTGTTTTCACGGAAGCTTCGGAAATTTTGTTTATGTCTGAGAAAAATCTTCTCTGTTTCATCAGCGAAAACTTTAATTTCGATACCTTTTCGTGACGAAATGTTTCATTATAGATAGGGCTGGGCATTTTCGAATTCCTTGTGATTTCAGAATCTAATCGAATAATTTTTATCGAATCGAATCGAATCTCGAATACTTGGAAATATATAATTGTAAGCGACTTTTTTATAGTAATTGGTCTTCTTAACAAATGAATTACTGAAGAAATTGAATAAATCACTCAGACAGATTACTGAGCGTTCACACAGAATGAGAAACACGATTTATCAATAACTCACTACAGAAAATAGTCATATGTTAGAATCGCGTTGAAAATATATGGCTTCAATTAAAAAAAATTTGAGAATTCACCTCGACCATTGGCGGAAAGAAAAAAACAAGATGGCGGCGATTCGAAATTAAACTCTGAACCTATTCGAATAATTCACTATTCGATTCGAATATTCGATTCGAAATGCCCAGCCCTAATTATAGACGGGGTATTTTTCCCTGTGTAATGGGTCGTAATGTAATCGGATTTTGTATTCCTTTCTAATAGCAATAATTGCACAACATATGAGACACTGAACCTTTTTAATATAGTTTCACACAAAATACAGATCCCCACTTCTTTTGAAATGTTCTGTGCTCTTCCGAACATTTACGCTTCTTGGACATTGCGTATGGTTTATTACGTCATAATAAACTTGTTTATTTCGTCATAATAACAACGCAAAATGAAATTATTGAATCACAATTTAATTATTAATTAACGTTTCCCCGACATTTAAACCTTGAAAGATTGTAGCTATTCAACGGTGAATTTGAGAGTGTTTTGGAGAGTTAGCAATTACAAATCGGCTCCCATGTTCAAACCTGTCATTTTTATGCAAAACAATAAACCACATGTCATTTTAGGCTAGTCTATCGGGGCGTTTGCGATTTGAATTATTGTAACTAAACTAAAGGTCCTCAGGAGATACAATGACAATTAAGTCATTTGATTTTCTACTAATTTTTGGAAACAAAACTAAAAACTGAAAAGTAACACACAAAACTATACCAAAAGAGGCAATCTATACAATCACGTTTGAATATATATATGTCTGAGCGAAAGAAGACTCTGATCGGCGCATAAATTCCAATTGTTACGTTATTGTTAACTCATTGCTGATTTGTAATTGTTACGGAAATAAACAAGGAAATCTATGCACGGGGAAACATCCACAGAATAAAATATGAACGTGGTAAAGTGAAATAACATGGGGGAAATTTCACTGTGTCCATTTTTTCGGACCTGACTCTTGTGTTGGAGATCCTTGCTCTACCGGATATACCAATCGATACAACGAAAGCTAGAACTCACTACAGGAAGGTTGTGTGCAAGTATTGCGACAAAAACTTGTTGTATTAGTAGATTGCATGATTGTGCATTCATACAAAAATCAATTTATGTTTACATTTTTATTATCCGATATATTCTGATGCTAAATTTTCATTGCCCAAGAAGACTAGTTATGAAATATTTAATACGCAATAGACCTCGGCGGTTAGCTCATTGGGTGAAGTATTTATTAGGGACATGCTTGCTATCACTTGCTGACCTTTATAAACCAAGAACCAAAAAGTATCTTTCGTTTAAAAATTTGATGAACTTGACTTTTTGAGTCAAAAATGTATTAAATTAACGTAATTCATGAATTGAATTCATTCAAATGTTCAAAACCAACTGTTACTTGGTGTTTCGTGAAACTCTGTTTCAACTCCATTACTAAAATTACAATAAAAAACCTTTGACTCATATTTTGAATAATGTTTAAATGATTGACTAGTACTAGTATGACTAATAAAAACAATGGTGCAAATCTCTCTTGTTTGGATTTTATTGATGACTACCTCGTTATTTGTTGTGAAAACATTTATTTATCGTTTAATAATTTCTGTTAATGGCAAACAAAATGTAGCCAATGTTATTGCCTTATCATATGACTCGCTTACTTGCTATTATTTATTTTTTTGCAATTCATGACAATATGATCAAATCAATTTTATGAATACAGGTCTTTCACAATTATATTTATTCAAAATTATAATTTTTTATCAAATGGAAAGATGGATTTAATGGTATAATTGCAGAAAGTACTTTTAGACATTGAAATATGCATTCGAGATGGTTTGTTCCTCTATTTGATTTCTGTCTGAGTCAACTAATATTTCATAATTTGACTTTCCCTCTTTAGTACATCAGGACGAAATGATAAATGTAAAAAACGCGACGTCACATCACAAATGTTCCACTCTGACACTTTCTGACGCGTCATAAAGTTAGTGGTCTAATTCCATCCCATAATACACCCTTAATTAATTTTAGAATGCATAGCTCCCAGAAAAACTTCAAAGTAAAAAAACAATCTAATAGTCGCTTTTCTTTTTGTAGTTGAATTATGCGTGGCTGAGGAAGTCTGGCCTTGGTAGTAATTGGTCCTACAGAAATCCAATCGATAGCATTAGAAGAAAATCCTCATTTTTAAAACGTTTATTTATACAAGACAAATTAGAATTCATTGCATATATTTTTCAAACGCAGTAATAAATAAGAATGCAATAAAAATCAAAACATTAAAAAAGCTAGTAACATCATAAAAATAATTAAATATATATTGTATTCATATTCTAGAGGCAGATTATATTATAAGTAATCAACTTCTGTATTAAAATCTCAGAACGAAACACTGGAAACGAATGACATTATAGCACAGGGTTTATTATGTAAATTGCCGTCTTATACTAATATCGATTGCTTTCTTAATATAAAACTATTGATATCAGGATTGAGCCATGTCTTCGTTAGGGATGTTTGGACACTCAAAATTGTATATGTAATGATTGAATGTCGTGTGTCTTGTCGTGCACCAAAGAAAATAAAGACTTAATTAGCTTTTCAACCGATAAGTGACATTGCCCTGTTGCATCTTTCGTTTGGGTTGTCTCTTCTTACAACGATGGATCTGCATTTGTTGATTTTGACGACTTTGCACGAAGGATGAACGTTTGTGAAATTCATGAATCTGTTAAAGATTGTTATATAATAAATTTAAGTATTGGGCATTGTTTGCACAAGACGAATTTATTCGCATTCACTCTCTAGCCTAGCCAACTCAAACATCTAAGTAATTCTCTGTATATAAGAATTATGAATACTAACCGGCTGCAACACCTCGATTTCTTCTCTGTGTAGTAATAGTAAACCATCTTATACGTGATCGGTTCAAAAGTACCGGTAGCCCAGTTATAGATTGGTGCTCTAGTCGGAGAACATTCTTTTGTATTCGCTTCTTCTCTTGGTATTTCAATATCTTCATCTGGAGTATAAGTTACAGGAGATTCGAATCTTGCAGACATCTGGCTCTTTTTAACCGATAAGTTTGGTTTCTTATTAACGGCTTCAAGGCATGCCAGCTGTAAAATTAAAAACAAAATATTAATTCACATAACAAGCAGCGCAGAAAGTAGCTTGAAACAAAAATCGAAATACGACTTACCACAAACTTCTTTGTTGATATGCATTTACAAGTATAACATGAAACTGAATCTGGTCTCCATCTTTGCCCAACTTTATAAATTTTATCGTTCCCGTGTGAATTTGAGCAACCAGCTTCTTGATAGCAGTCCGCGGCAACGTATACAATTATACAAACAATTATACTGGCAATTGAAATTGATGATTTCATCTAGAATAAATAAAAGGTAAAGTATACGGAACAAGGCGGAAAAATTTCAAAATATTAAATAAAAAGGCAACCAAACATACCTTAGTTATCTAGTATTTGAGTGCTTCACTAATAAAGTAGTAGTAAAAGTTGTTAACTCGAAGTTACGAAGTTTGAAATGATTGTAAAATCCATTGGTCCCCTTTATAAGTATCGCGCACGTAGCTTCCGGGAATAGTCAGTCGGGAGAAAAGTTCGATACGAGACAATTAATATGTCAGTTCAGAGCAAAACGAGAGAAATTTTCATGTATCACTAATGAAGTGATTCGTTGAAATACTCTGTGAGAACGTGTCAACGTCACAAGTGAGCGGACGTCATATGCATTTCGGGTCAGACAGATCCATCAGATATTATTTTTGATATAATAAATCTTTGACAACTATAAGAATTTTGATCAAAGACTTGGGAAAGAATTCAAATATCAATTAAAAACGAATATTGCAAAATCACACCAAATAAGAATATTTTCATTTCTCTATAAACTGCGCTTTTTCAATTCAACAGCAACTTTGATGTAATAATAGGCTTTGTAAATAATAAAACCAAAATTGTATTTGTCAATTTCTGCAAACAAGGGAAATTTTCAGCAAACAAATTGAAAAAAATTGATGAATGACTGACTAAATTAAATTTGGTTTAATTTACCTACGTCATATAAATTGGAAACCAATAAAATATTGTTTGTTATGAAAATTGAACTGGAAATTTTTCATGTGCGGCTACTGCGTCATATTTTTAAATCGCATCAAATTAATATTTTCACAATTAAGCTTGAATCATAAAAGAAACACATATTTTAAACGAGGATCGAATGTGGCTTACATATAATGTGTGTTTTCCTTCACGTGAAACGTGATAAAGCTGCGTAAATATTCAGAAAATTATTCTCATGCACATCATACTATGACGTACAAATCGAATCAATAATAATAATAGAAGTTACAATTTAAAGTTGCTGTTAAACAGGTAGGTATAACTAACTAAAACACGTGTTATAAAAACATGAACTTTTAAGATGTATCATATTTCCTGTACAACGAATGTGTGTTAATTTGCTAAATACTGCACGAAACCTATGACAATGGCGCCAAAAAGCAACTTATTTTCAACTTTACATTTTTGTTGCAATGATCTTGTGCTTTGCGCGGTGGCTGAAAACAATTTCGTATCAGATAGGAGATCTCGAGTTTATGTTCCAGTTTGTGCAGAATTTTATTTTTTTTGATCAAAACAAGTCAAACATTTTCACAAAAATATAAAAAGAATAACGCTGAAAAACAAATTAGGTGCGTCAAATCTTTAGCCGGAGTTACCAATTGCAGCTGATTCATATATTTGCGTGTTTGTCAAAAGATATGAAATATTCAGAGAATGAAACGAATATTGACAACAAAAGTAATATAACATAGTTATTAGTAAAATTTTAAGCTTTCAGGTAAACATACTTGAGTATTTACGTAAATTACTGAGAATCTGCACGGAATCATAAAACCGTCATGCATTTCCACACGCAAGTTTCGAAGAATACGGTAGAGTTTTGAACGTCAAATTCAACGTAAAATATCAGCGATACAAATTTTATATGCTCACCAGTGAATATATTTAAATTGTATTTGGCTTCAGGCATCAATGCATGTGCACATAGAAATATTATAATATCGAACGAATTTAAACAACTAGCTAAATAACAGTTCTGGTAGTAAAAGCCACGTCACAAAGTACAATTTGGTAAGACAAAGTACGAATTTGGTAGGCCACACATGAAGGTTCCCAACCCTAACAACTGTCTGCATTTTACATTTAAATAGCTGTTTTAATGGATTTGGTCTTCTCAAGGCACAAATTGAAAAATTAATTTTCAATTTTAAAAGTAATTTTGTAGAAGTAATCAGGGCCGTAAATCACAATCAGACATTCGGTGATAGTCTCGTAGAACAAATTTGATTGTCAACATGTTAGTCTAATTCGTGTTTTGAAGAGCGACCTTTACATGGGTTTATTCTAGTTTGGGCGTAATCTGAGCGCACTATTGCTAATTATAAACAACTAGGTAGACTTGTAACTTTTCAATGCAATTGCATATTTGAGCGTTACCGAGATCTCAAATTGTGCTGCATCTCTGGCGCGTGCGTATTCCAGGGAATGAGCCATAAAACAAAAAAGTGCAATCTCATGACTTATCAAATGTTTGTCATCTTAAGACCTTATATGAAAAGAACTTAATATGACAATTGTTATAGACGTACTTTACAATTGTTTGTACAAAATGCTTGACATACGTCAATACGAAAATAGATTTTGTATAATATTGAACTGATTTAGGAAGCAACCCAGACATAATGCTTAAGAATTCGTACTGAGAATTAGAATTAGCGACCAAAATAATTGAAATTTTCGTAGGTTAATATTTTTATACATGCCACTAAATTTGTATCGAACACTAAAATTAGAAATGCTGAAATATATTTGAAGTAAGGTATATTGCCATTGCAGAACCACTTTCCATCTTAGCGTCAAAATGAAATAAAGGAATACATGGTGCACGAATAGAGAAAATGCTACCCGACGAGTGAGACTCTAATTCCATACCTTTCAAACTTGGTAGCTGTTTATACCTGAAAGTTTTGACCGGGTATCTAAAAAGTCATAATGAGTACTTACTATTCGTTGAAAAAATTTGTATCTTATTTTGATCAAAAAAAAAATTATCGGTTTCCATCTAATGTTATTTATTTATACTTAGTTGAACAAATCCTCGGGCTATTATTGTAGTATAATTAATATTTTTGCCATATAAAATTAATTAGCTCTATATTTATATGTCATAAAACTATATAAAACGCATATGCGCTTAAAATAGATCAGAAACCATGAATATATTTATGCAAATAGGTAAAATGCTTATTGTTCGATATGAACACTGACAGGAGAAATAAATTATCACACAATTGATTTATCAAGAAATTGATGAAACATGATTTATTATTCATTTCTTGGATCTTCCGTAGCAAGATTACAATTATGTTACAGTTAAGTTACTTACGAGGAAGAGTTTCGGCAACACTGGCATTAGAAGCTATATAGACTTATAATAAATATCAACACTCAAGATTGAGCATTCATACAGAATCACCGCATTTGCTATGTTAATTAAACATTGGAAAAATGTCCAAAATACACAGTTTCGTGACTATATATTACTAACCTCAAATGTTGATTATCATATAAATATCCTCGAAATGAAAGAGAGTTGTGTTTAGTGCTGACCTTCCGAAATTCTCTTTTTGATGGAAATAGATTGATACGTGATGCGATTTCTCCCACGTGACGTATAGCCGTAAGGTACGTGAACGGACTATATAAGCTGTAATATTGTCACCGATAATATCACATTTGAATTCGATTATCAACGAGAGGGAAAGCATAAATTCTTATTTTCGGCGAAGAACTAAGTAACCACTCAATAACGGTACGTATTTCAGATATTTGTATTTTCGAATGTCAAACTTGCAAAAAAATGTAATTTTTTGAACCATATATACCTTACATGTAAGTAGCATTTGAGCTGTGTAATTGTGTAACGCTAATAAATATTTTCAATTTTACATTACAGATGAATTCCTGGATTATGATTTCACTGTTTGTTGCTACTGCCATTGTTTGTGTAAGTGCAGATTGCTACAGAGAAGATGGTTGCTCAAACACAAATGATAAAGAGTTCAGAATCGGAAAAAGATGGAAGCCAAAGTCCAATCCTTGTTATACTTGCAAATGTATAAAAACAAAGAAGTTTGTGGTAACTCATATACTTTATATGGAGCAATCTCTTACTGCTTTTGACATGATTGTAACATTTCTTTTTTATTTTTCAGCTGGCATGTCTTGAAGCTGTGAATAAAAAACGGAATCTATCAGTTAAAAAAAGTCAACTGTCTGCAAGATTTGAATCCCCTGTAAATTTTGCTCCAGATGAGGATATTGAAATAACGGAGAAAGAAGCAAAAACAAAAGAATGTTCTCCGACTCGAGCACCAATCTATAACTGGGCTGTCGGTACTTTTGAACCGATCACGTATAAGATGGTTTACTTTTACTACAAAAGAAAGGAATCAAGATGTTGCAGTCGGTTAGTATTTACTATCTTAGGTTTTATGTACAATGAATATTTAGGGGCCTTTCTGTCGGCCCTCGATGAAACTTAAAACAACGGGAGAATTTTCAACTCAATCCTCATATTTAGCTATGTATTTATATTTCACATATCTTCAAACAATGATATATTATTTAAAAAAAATTCAAATACAGATTACATCAGAAATAATGTGTTTCATACAATTTTGTTATTCTCATCTTTAATTTTATATTCACAGATTCATGAATTTTACAAATGTCCATCTTTCATGTAAAGTTGTCAGAATCAGCAAATGCAGATCAATAGTTGTGAAAAGGGAAAATCCAAAAGAAAGATGTAACAAACCGATGTCGTTTACTGGTTGAAAAGTGATTTTTCTATATACTGAGCTCGTAAAAGTTATTTGCAATTGATTTTGTTCTTTGTCGTTGTTTATCGCTAAGCTAGTTTCAAATTTTATTTCCATGAAATTTTATTGTTGGAAATTTATAATGTTCATTCCACAAAAACCGGCCTTCTGCAAAAAATCATCCAGTTTCAAATTTAATTGTTTATCAGGTGATTTTTCTTATTAAAATATGCAATGTTTTGTTGTTTTTTATTTATTTTTATTTCTTACATTTCTTCGTTGTTTTTTCAAAAATTGTTTGAATAAATGAACCCGCATTAAAGCATGAAAGTACACTTACAAATAATGTTGGGAGGGACAAACAACAGCTTGACTATGGTATCCTTCGTTAGTCGGTAACGTGCCATTGATTAGTCAAATCAGATAAATAATATTTCTAATAAAATACCACAACGCTTTAGTTTGAAGAATATATAATCGAAAAGTTAATATAACTAAAATTAGTAATCGAAACAATCGTACAAACTAGTTTTGCAAAGATTACATAATTTTTGATGCCTTGGGAAAGTTGATGTTTGGATTCAGTATATAGAATAGATGTTGTGAGCGATCACAACTCAATATTTGCTAATTATACTTTTGTCCTTACCGAAGCTATGTCAGTAAATAGCAGCTAGTACAAAATTTGAGAAAATATTAGGGACAGTATTTCTATAAAAAGTCAAAGGAAAACAAAATTTGACGAGTTATAAATTCTGAATTTAATCGGCGAAATTTGAAAAATATTAGGGACAGTATTTCTATAAAAAGTCAAAGGAAAACAAAATTTGACGAGTTATAAATTCTGAATTTAATCCTCATTGAAAACATGAGAAATGTACGACTAAAAGCACCGCTGCAAAAAATAAAGTGCTAGCGCCAAACTTATATTAGACGCCATGACGTTTACAAATCTTTAACTTGAACGGCGATTTACGCGCAAATTTTGCGTGGGGAAACATGCTTGGTAAAAGATTCAACTATACTCAAGTCAGTTACGTACAAGTTAGATAAAGCCTTTGGTATAACAATTATTTATGCAAATTTTTCATATATCTATCAAATACTCAAATCAAATTCATAATTAATTAATTTATCGTTGTAATAATTTCTCGCTCTATTATACTGAAGTCTAATCGGAATTTCCCGAATAAAAGAGAAACACAAATTTAAAATATGATTTATGTTTATTAAATGATGTGTTCGAAATGATTCGAAATTACAAAATATATATTCTTGGAGATAAAAATATCATATTTTGACTGAATCCTTACAAATTTTAATAATTTCATTGCAAAATACATTTTGAGTACCTAAGCAAAAAAACTGAAGCAGAAATAATATATGACAAAACTTCAAAGGATCAAATTAATTCGCGGTGTACCCATTACTGACATTCAATTTTTTAAATATAGTTTTACATTGACTTGTCACAATCATTATTTAATTTAACCCAATTTAATTTAGTTTAAAAAATTTTCTACTAAAATATTTTATGGCTTTATTTTGAGTTTGAGATATCACACACTAAAACAATTAAGGGTAAATTTTAACAATGCAAAATTTTTGAAATGAAAGCTTATAGTCGCAAGATCCGTGAATTGAATGGCATTTCAATTTGGCATTTCAATTGACAAGGTACATCTAATTAAATTACAATGTATCAAAACCATTACATTTAAATGAATGTTAAAATATCTTACTAAATTGACTGAAGTAAATGATAAATATTACAAATTTCTGGAAATGTTTTAGGTTGTGTGCTTTTGATTTGATTAGATCTCGATTGCGAGTCGCTCATGTCAAACGCAATCAAGAGCTTTTGAAATATTCAGAGATACCTGAATTGAAATAATCGCGCTGACCCGGGTACTGTAAATTCTTAATATTGTCATTTAGAACACAACATACTGTATAGTATAAACTTGAATACGGCATCCAACGTGGAAAGAAAGGAATCATGAAGAGTCAGATATTTTTCGAATCGAAAATGTTCTGAACCAATCTTAGTTATAACTATATACTGACGTTTTTATAGACAAACTTCACTTTTAATCCGTGGCTCACATACATCTCCAATTTAAGCCACGCTTAACACGTCTCGGCGATGATCTTCCTTCGGCCTAGGGATGATTGCTGATGCTGTATTAATTAGAATCGCACCCACATCATGTTTGAACGTGCACAGTTGTAATGCGTCCATTGCGCCTATAATTTAGTCTGTTCTGTGATTTGGAGTAAAGTTTTTTTGCTCTAAAATTGTGGATCAATTTGAATACCAAACGTAATAAATGCCGCTCCGACAAATTGAAAACTGATAAATATGATTTGTACGATTTTTTTGAAATTTCCACAAATTTTTCGTGAATAATTTGAGAAATTACCAATGAAATATCTGTATGACACTACTTTAAAAAATTGTGTATTAAATATTAAGTGAGTCCTATATATATGGGTGTTGCAGAAGCATTGGGTTTCGGCGATGTATAAATGAAAATTAAGATGAATAACCGGATGTTTGCAATGTGTAAAAATTGAGTGGAAGCTACAAAAAAAAATCCAATTCCTATCTAGTTATATACGAGTTTATAAATAGCCACAAAAGTGAACATTATATCTTTCTAGTTATTAGTATTATACGATGTTGTTAATTGTAATTAAAAATGATTTATAAACTATAAATTATGACTCAATTTTTATATAGTCATGACTGATTACTTAGTTGAAATAATGCTCGGGCTATTATTATTTTAGTATAAATGGTATTTTCATCAACTGAACAACCAACTGAACGCCTAAATTTATAAGCCATAAAGTTAATGAAAACACGTATGCGCTTAAAATAGACAAGAAACTATATTTGTGATAATAATTAAAATGTATACCGAACGGATTGTATACTGGAAGGAGAAAATAATTTATGACAAAAAAAAACAGTTCACCGCGATATAGTTAGGAATATGGATATATTAAATTGGTTGCTTTGGGATTCCTCGCATCCGAGTCACAAATGTTAACACTTTGCTTACGAAAAAGGTGAAAGCATCACTGGTGTTGCAGATAGATTTCTTACTGCGATAGAAACGCTAATGAATACCGGCACTGAAGACCGATCATCTGCAACAAATTGCAGCCATCTTCATGTCAAACATATAAAATATACCCGAGTGACATATATTCATGACTTTATTTGGAAATTGTTATGCGAGACAAAAAACAGTTCAACGCTATATAGTTAGGAATATGGATATATTAAATTGGTTGCTTTGGGATTCCTCGCATCCGAGTCACAAATGTTAACACTTTGCTTACGGAAAAGGTGAAAGCATCACTGGTGTTGCAGATAGATTTATTTCTGCGATAAAAACGCTAATGAATACCGACACTGAAGACCGATCATCTGCGACAAATCGCAGCTCTCTTCATGTCAAACATTTAAAATATATCCGAGTGACATATTTTCATGACTTTATTTGGAATTTGTTATAATAGTTACCGATAGGTATTTAAGATATTTATATTTTTGGAAATGTCGAAATTGCCAAAACAAAATGTGCTTTTTTGAACTACTCGTTGCCGATCGACGCTTGAGATTTAAACATATTTGCGCTGTTGAGTAATTGTAAAATACTAATAAATATTTCAATTAGAAATGAAATATTCAAACACAAAAATAAAAAATATAGAATTACACAAACACGGAAGCCGGTGTCGAATCCTTATTCTATTGGCAAAAAGTTAAAAAAAAATATATTAATTTTTAACGTCATGCAGTAATATTTATTAGTTTATCAATTAAAAAAACAAGTCTGTAAGATTCGAATCACCAGTAAATTATACTCCAGGTGAAACTATCAAATTATTAAAAAAGAAAATAAAAAACTCAGACTTGACTCGAACCTCAGATTACAACTGGTCCTTTATACCGATTACCGATCGTAACGACATGTTTGAGATGGTTATGTTGTGATGAACATTGAAAGAATAGATAGTAATAATTCAGGAGTGAATTTTATTTTTGATTTTCACTTAACAGATTAATGTATTTCACCAACGTGCATTCTCCGTGTTGAGTTATAAAAATCAGCAAATCAGCAAGTGTAGATCAATAGTTGTAAAAACAGAAAACCTATAAAAAATGTATGCTAATCAATATCGCAATATAACTATGTAAGGTTAGAGGGAACATATTTTTCCGATTTAACTAAATCACAAATACCAATCTCAAACAAACTTACAAACAACGTTCTGTAATTACAGCCCAATAGCAATATTATTATATGATGAAATTTTAGCATAAAATTATGACCATTTTGCCAACGAAATATACAAGGAACTTGAAATATGGAGTTTATTTAATCACGAAATCACCTTCAGGTATAAATTAAGTTAAGTTAGATATCCATAATTTCTGAAATATTATAGTATATAATACACTGTTCGTGCGAGACTTACACTTATTGCAACTATTTAGGTCTTAGGATATTTAATTGAATCTTTGGTTTTCGCTTGGTAACGAAAATGTGCGGAAACATTCTTGTTCGAAGATAATCAATTGTACCTGAGTCAGTTTTTCCCAAAATGGAGGCGACCAGTATAGAGACCTTTCTATGTTTGTTAATTAAATGTAATGTGCGGTGTAATTTTGGATCATTTTGTTTAGCCTGTGTATATCACATACATAGTATTTAATATGTTTCGATTATATTTATATATATAAATTACTAAGAATTATGTTTTCTGATAATAACTGTCTTTACTAATATTCAACACCCACATCAACCAGTGTTGGTTCAATGCTTCTTTTTTCAATTTTATTTTGATATAAACTTAAATTAGATCTGAACATGAATCCTCAGATATATCATGCGACTTTCTTGACCTTAATTAAAGATAATCGTCGTCATGAACTGAGTTCTTACGCAGTATGCTACGTAATATTACTAAATTATGTACCAAGTTTCAATTTCCGCCGGAAAAGAAAGTAATTTTAAAACTACGGATATGAAATAATGGTGAAATAACGGGTTACTAATGCGTAGAAGTCCAATGTCATTTTCATTTTTTCGCGTCGCTTATAGACGTAGTTTCCGCCGGAATATCACGTACTTTTTAACATGCGGAAATTTGTAACATGCTTTGAAATGACGATTTTTGCAAACGTGATATCCATGCGTCTTAATCAAATTTATTTTGTTAATATTATTCTACTTCTTTACGTAGATGGATGTAATTGACGTTGATCGACGGTCTTCACTAATTGTTCATTATAACTAAACGTCATTCTCAGATCACTTGCATATTTCAGACATATATATATATATATCCGCCAAATATATCCATTTCTTATATAACAATTGCAAAATGCAAGGCACTGATGGCCTGTCTATTTATTTTGTAAGTTTTACCGCCTTTTGATTCGTAGCCGAACTCAGTCAGAGGGTCCAACGCTCATTGCAAGCCCTGAGCAGCTGGATACCATTGTCATAGTTTTGGATATCGCTTGAAAAAGAATATCCTGAGCTCAGTGACAAATTTATTAAATTACTGCTGATTTGTTGTACAACTTACTTTTGTTAGAAACGCTTTTGATCGTTATCTCTCATCAAGACATAATCGGAGAAATCGTATGGAAGTCAACGCTCTTTTTCGCCATGCAGGAACTTCATTGGAACCGCGTTTAACACGTATGATATCGAAAGAACAGCAGCAAATTTTCCATTGAATTGAATCACCAGCTTTTAAATTGCATACTTTTGTCGTAATTACATTCGTTTAATTTTGTTTCTGGGTGGATTTTGAGGGTTCACCGGTCAGCAATCTAAAAGAAGTTGAAAACCACTGATATATACTATTATGCAAAGATTCCTAAAATCCCTAATTAGATATGAAATACTAAATAAAATACTAGTATTCATCAGCAAATGGTAGCAGAAAGACAAACATTAATCAAAATGTATATCCTTGGTGCAATAGTGTGCAGGTGCAATCGTCGTGGGTTCAAATGTACGTGGGTTCAAATGTAATGGAACCTTATATTTTGCATAATTCAAGCAAGATAGGTATATATATTTTACTAGAAACTAAAAATACGGACTATATTTTGGTTGATTGCGTTTTGCCAACTTAAACCCACCAATGGGTAGGTATAGTGGGTGCGTTCCTCAATAATTCTATAAGATAGCAATCCAAACGCCCACCTATTATCTGTCACATCATTTCGGGTATCACTGCCAATCTACGACTTGTTGCTTATGATCATATAGTACCTATGTTACCAAATATGGCTTGCGTGGTGAAGTAATCACAGTTTAAACGTTGTAATCTTGATTTTATCTGCTCATGTCAACAAATTATTCAGTTTACCACACAAATTAGGAGCGGCTACTCTGGGAGTGGTTATATTTAAATTTCTCCATTGCCCTTCATAAATTCTCTCGTTTTCACATGTAATAGTAAAATGTATGATATTTCTCCTTCGATATATCTCCCAAATGACGTAGTGTCGACCGATATACTAATCGAAGGTATAAAAGACGGCTTAATTTTTCACCTAATTCATTCCAATTTCATTCTCCAGCTGAACAGTGACGGAGTTATCAATACTTTCAGCTCAAAACATTACATCAAAATGGTATGCTTTCATTTAATTCAATTATTATTATTATCTTGGGATCTACAAACAAACATTTGAACATTGTGTTGCAGATGCATTTACATATTGCAACAATATTCTTGGTAGCATGTACGATTTCATGCATCACTGCTGACTGTTACATAGACAATGGTTGTCCAAATACAAAAACGAAGAAAAAAGAATATAGAATCGGGCAAAGATGGAGACCAAACTCAGATCCATGTTATACATGTAAATGTGTAAAATCAAAAGAATATGTGGTGAGTTATATTTATAAAGATTGAATATGTTACTTATCAATGAAACGATATAACGGATTTTTTTATTTAATATTTTACAGTTAGCATGCCTTGAAGCCATAAATCAGAAACCGAAACTGTCGTTTAAAAAAAGTGAATTGATTGCAACTTTTGAATCAACGATAAGATACGCTGCGGATGAAGAAATGGAAATAAATGAAAGAGAAGTTAAAACGAAACAATGCAGTCCAATTCAAGCACCAGTCTACAACTTGTCTACCAGCAAGTTTGAATCAATTACATACAAAACAGTTTATTATTTCTACACAAGAAAAGAATCAAGATGTTGCAGTCGGTTAGTGCTATTCGTATATTTAAGATAACAACCATGTTGATTATTGTACACTATACTTCCTCTTCTGACAACTCCATGAAACAAGGTACTTGCCACAAAGCGAAGCTGCTGAATTTGGTAAACATACAATGATAATGAATTCAATAATATAATATTAGCCTATAGCCCAATATCCCATTCGGTATACCCATCCTTTAGTTGTAGTAAATGTAAATCAGCGTATTGTAACCTATACATTAGCCTTATTGCAAATAACAAATACGCCAGAATATATCCGTTACGGATATCACATAGTGTAAATATTCCTTATTGTCATTGTTTCCTTAATTTTTTTTTTTCAGATTTTCGTATTTCACTAACGTTCACGCGTCCTGTAAAGTCGTTAAAATCGGCAGGTGTAGGTCAAAACTTGTCAAAAAGGAAAATCCAAAAGAAAGATGCAACATGCCAATGACATTGATTGGCTGAGGCGATTCTTGATTTTCAATCACCATCAACTACCAAATTCAACGAGGCAATATACATTTAGCTGTCATAATCACTGCCAGAATCTTCGTATTATTTCATGTCTAATAACAAATTACTGGTGAATGTGTCTTATGTTCCAAGAAAAGTGGACAAAAATGTTGACACTTTTTCATCTGTCGGGCATGTTTTCGCACGCAATAAGTATATTTCTATATCTTTTCAAGTTTATGCAACAGTGCTATTCTTTGTTCTTCTTTATTATTTTGTGTTACTATTATAGCCTGTTTTTTTTTTTGGTTTGGTGTTTAGGTAGGCCTACTTGAAACTGTTTCAAATGTGCCTCAATCGCTAATTAGGAGATTAGGTTTTTGTAAGATTTTTTTTTTGTGGTAACTATTTTGTCTGAACGCCGAGAATATACGAAACATCCTGCAAAAAGTAATGTTCATGTGTACTTGAAAGAAAAAAAACGTTTGAGCAAATTAAAGCTAATAAAGATATATCTGCTTGTTAGCGTGACTATTCTACTTTGGTGTTAATAAACAATATATTCACCAACACGGATATTCTGTTAGTAATAAAGGAATATTTGTTTTATGGTCCCTTAGGACATTTAAATGCTATGGTAGTCTAGTGAAAAAATATTTTATTATAAATTGTCTCATCGCATCAAATATATTTTTGAACTTGTATACATGTGTACTGTTATGAAGATGGCAATTTTGATTTTACAACAGCTACATATTTTGTGTAATGCCAATAAAGTGTAGCAATATCTTTAAGACATATTCTTGATAAACGATTTTCCTAGTTTTTTGGACTGAATGGAAAATGTTGAAAAGTATCGAAATCTCTGATAAGTTTGTTATAAAAATGCAAAAAAAAATAGAGCTAGTGATGGTGACAAAAATGTGACAAATCGAAATACAAACAAAAGTGAAACAAAAAAGATGAACAAGGCCAATGAATCGAAAGATTAGATTCATATGAAAAAGACAGCGAACCGCTGCGACGCCAGAACCCTTGACTCGGAGCACTTGACGTGTGCTGATTGATAAATGGAGATGAAGCTTAATCAAGCCGACTATAGTCAGGGCCATTGAATTATTAGGTAGGAATTAGCGGGCATACCCCACATGTCGTCAGTTCTACATAACCTACGAATATATACAATAAAGGCTGTTTTCTGTTTAAAATGCCGCGACAAATTGAAAACCATATTGAGCAAACCAGTGACATACAATTTGTATGCGAGACCTAATATTTAACTATAACACGACATATAGATACAAAAATATTTGGTCATTTCGGTCCCACATTTGTTCACAATGTTTTCTCTCTAATTAGGTCTCATCATGTGATTAAAAATACTTTTGTAGTTAAATCGTAACTGGAGGCGGAAACGCTCTTGTTCAAATTGTCTAATATTCAAAATCGGGTCGCTTATTGCTATATTTAAGCTTTCGTTTTGCTGCAATATATTTAACTCATTTGCACTAAAAATAACCAAGACATTATCTTTTCGTCATAACTTTTTTTTCCAATTGGACGTGAAATAAGTATATATATAAGGCATTCGGAATTGAAGTATTTGATTGAAGATTTCATGGATAATCATCATTCTTTGCTAAAATCATGGTCGTTTGTGAAGCATGAAGGTAAGTGGTGATATTTATTCAATATTATATTATTGTCGGACATGTTCAGGATATCCCATGAAAATATCATATGGCATTTGTTATTGGATACGGTGTGAAACTTAGTCATGAACACAAATAAATGATTCGAGAGATTCGAAGTTACCCAAAGCAAATACAGCAAATATAAGCAAACGGGATTTCCAACCTTATGCCCAGCCCACTTTCACCGATGTCAACAAACAAAGGTTTGCAGTAATAGTAGTGAAATTTTGTAGGCATAGTAATTTGTCAGCTTTACGAATGTAACCTTGTCCCCATTTTCCATAATAGCATTTAGAGAAATGGCTGAATTTGATTGTGGTGCTGAAACTGTACGTGTTCTTTGTGAAGATTAGGACACTTAAAGCTGATTTCGTTTATTCAATAATTACCAATGCAATGGTGCATCTTTTGGCGATTAAAAAGCTATTAAATTGACAAACATTGTATTTTTTAATCCTTGGCATGGCTGTGGATAATCTGTAAATAATAATTTGAATAAGGAGGTACCCTTAAGTTGCAGTTAGAATTTGCAAATATTATTTCGTTTTGTGTGCATTATACTAGCATTCCGCATTTTGCTGTCTGGATGGAAGACTGTCTTCATATTGTTGTGTTTCACAGATGAATTCTGCATTTTTAATCGTTTTGATCATTGCATGTTGTATTGGATGCGTCGTTTCTGTTTGTTATCGGGAAGTAGGATGTGTAAACACGAGGAAAAAATATAGAGATTATAAAATCGGACAAAGATGGAAATCATCATCGGATCCATGTTATTCTTGCAAATGTATTAAAAGAAAGAAATTCGCGGTAAGGGCTTAGTTTTTATTTCGTATACATGATAATATGAACACAGTAGCATAAAGTTTAAAATATTGTATTATGTATAATATGTTTCCATGTCAATGTAGTTAGTGTTCGCTACAATATTATAATTTATGCACTACGAATGCGGATTGTTCAAAAACGTTTTCTTATTAATTTTGCAGATGGCATGTCTCGAGCCTGTGAATAAACGAACGGAATTATCAGTCAGAAAAAGTTTATTCACTGGACGATTTGAATCATCCGTAAACTACAATTTGTCCGAAGACAGAAGAATTTCCGAACTTGAAACAATGGAATGCCCACCAACGCTAATACCAGTCTACAATTGGACAACTGGAACGTTTGAACCAACCAAGATAGTTTATTACTACTATATCAGAAAAGTATCGAGATGTTGTAGTAGGTCAGTTACTTTATTGAACTAACAATTTTGAATTTTTTAATAAAAAGTGTTAACAAAGGTTGAAAAATATGAAAAGTGGGGTGTATATGTTTCAACGAATAAACAGTTTTTTTTATGGGCTATACATATTTTGTTATACGAAACAAATATAATAAAGATTTTGGACCTCCTAAAGTATGGGCACCAAGATGGCGCACAACCTGATCTCAGGTTGTGCACCAGGTTAGGGTTCAGGTTATGCGACATCTTAGTGCGCATACTTCAGGAGTACCAAGATTTTTTTATGAGATAAGTAACGCCAAAATTTTTGATCCTGTAAAGTTTATAGTGTAAATATTGCACTTTATGTGAGTGCGTTTTATACGCGACTTGCATCTAGTATTCAAAATTCGATGCTATTCTTATCTGAACTAGACTATTCAAAATTAATCGAAACAATGATACTGCTTGGAACTAAAAATGTTTATATATTTATAGGTTCACCAAGTTTTCCTACGTGCACCCTTCATGCAAGGTTGTTAAAATCAGCAGATGCCAATCGAAAGCGGTAATGAAGAATAATCCGCGTAAAATATGCGGCAAGAGGATGTCTTGAGTTGGATGAAACAATATCGCAAATTGCCAAGTTTATTTTGTCAATAATATAGATAGGCTTTACAGAAAAATAATATAAGAATCTTGTTTCAATATTACAATTAGGAGGGTGTTGAAAATGACAAACTGTTCATGCAGCTGGTGTCAGTCGATTAAAAGTTGCTCCACAGTTTTTATCTTTTTTTATTATATAAATACTTAACCATGCATTAAAGTGATATCAGTTTCATTTTTAAATGTAGGTATCAGCTTTATTGTTATTCACTTTCTGTTTGTTTTTTGTGTCACAATGACGTCATATGGTAATCAGGAGGTAATAGCGATTGCTTGATTGATGGTTTCGAATGTTGTTTTTTCCCTCATTAGCATCAGTCCATTAAATTACGCGTGTTGTACGAGTTTGGTTCAGTTTGACAGAGAGAAAATTAAAATGTGCTTATGACTATTCATGTCCAACAATGTACGATAAAAATAGAAGGTCATCTGACAAGAGCATTCTGAAAATAGTCGTACATGTTCTATTTTTGTGTGGCTTTCAGTTAATTATAGTAGATGACGTCAATTTCCCGACATGAATCAATTATAAATTCCATTTTAATAACATTCCTCAACAAAATTGATAGCTATTTCTCTGTAGATATGTAGAATTGACTAAATTCAGACATCCCTGAAGATTTGCAAATCTCTTATAGCGTTTTTAAAATACAAAAAAGACGCCCAAACATGGAATTATTTTGTAAATTGTTGAACATTGTTATGAGCCTTTTATAATGTCTTAGTCATTATAAATATAAAGAAAAACACAATCGTAGCAGTTAAAATTATGAACGTATGTTGGCGATACAGAGACGATATACCTCGACAGCAAATTGAATGAACGCTGTGCGTTCAGCACTAACTTACCAATATTACTTCTACAGAAACACGCGTGGTGGCAAAATCTTAAAGTCAGAACAATTTCAGGTAGAATAATATATACCGAAGAATATTCATGCAACGATTCAGATTTCTATATAATTTTGATCAAGCAAAGATTAAAGTTCTGTAAAACATTCTTAGTACGAAACAGGTGTAAACATCGTTTTATAATATAAAAAAATGTCAATTTATCTGTGGGTCAGTTATATCAAAGCGAATAAAAGTTTTATCTATTTACATTGTACAATAGGAGGAAATTACGAAAATTATTTCAAAATACTGAAATTCGATGTATTTTTGTATGAAACCCCGTAAAATACGCATTTTTCATCGCAATTCTCGGATCGCCAAAATTTGATTTATAATATTTAACAATATTTTTATAAGTAAACACACTATATTTGGACTATCGACCTTTGTGAGGTAATCAATTTGAATGTCGTGCTAAACTGAAAACCTCAGGAAGTCACATAGAAACAAAGTAATATAATTATTGCCTGTATGCTTTTACAAATGTCATATGAAACTATTTGTACTCGCCAATCCTGACGCCAATATGACGTATTAAAGAAACGTGTTTACTCTGTTGTTGAACCCTAGTAAAACAAAAATGTTTTAGTGTTGTTTTTCGAAGGTTTTTTGACATTGAATCAATCGTATTTAATCAGTTAGTCATGCTTAGCAAAAACAAGTTACTTCTCTGAACAATTATTTTCTAATTTAGCAAGTTTTTATGTAAGTGAACATTTTTTCATATTCAAATATCAAATTTTGACTCACAATAATATAACATTTTTGCACTCCATGCAACATCATTGCAATATTGATTATAAATCACATGTATTTCCTTATAACCGAGCACTTTTTGTGAGTTTTTGAAGTTCCATATATTTCCCATTTTTACTGAAACTTTTCATGTTAAAATGTTACTGCGTCTTGAATTATCAATCATTTCGAACAAATTTGCACACAGCGGAATTAATTTCCGGTCATAATTCTTGGTATGCAACATTAAGACGATCTAATACGATGAGCAATCTTTAAACTAAATTGCGTAAGCGAATGACATTCAAATGATCATTTGAATCCATCAGAAAGTGCAATGCGTAATTTGAGGATATCTTAACAAAGATTGCAAAATAGGGTTGGTATATTCAACGTACTTATTTTTAATCAAAAAAATTAATAGTTGTTCAGACTAAGCTGCTCATCTGCATGATATGGCAAAAAAAGAATGGTGATTATCGGAATGTGAGAATGAAAATAGCTATCATATGCTATGCCCCTACTGCAATGGAAGATACAAAAGCGATCGCGATTCAATAAATATTACAAATTATTAATGAATCACTCTATTAATCAATTTAATAACTTTTTCACTATAAATATCATTGAATATTATAACATGTATGTAATATAATATTATAAAACAATATCAACAATCCATATCACTAACAAATATATTGCAATATTTGTATGAATATAAAGTGCTAAGCAACAGTGAGCTTGGGGATTTTGACACGTCATTGCGTGCATACAATACAGCAATTCAAATAAACCAGTCTGTATTCTGAAGACGTTGAAACTTTCTGCCTAATTGAGGTTCATCATTTTAAAAGGTACGAATGTGATATACGAAAACCTGAAATTGTTGAGTGCATGTTTAAAGCATGCCACAATGATTGGAATTTGGAATGAATATCCTGTTTTTTGAGTATTTAATTAAAAATAGAATTTTCGTCTTAAAGAATTTGAAAAATGGGCTACCCGCTATTTTGAGCACAAATAGAATTCAAATATTTGAAAATCAATTATATCGGCCAATGAAATTTTTGTAAGTATATTGCCAGTTAAATGTTCTATAAAACATTGATTGAAACTGTTCCTGAAAATGAGTAACCTTGCTAAAATTTTCTCATATTCACAATCGATTAGTGCAAGATAATTAACAGTTGTCATGTTCAGGAAGGTTAAATTGTACTGGGGGTCAGAGATTATTTACACTCTCTATTTTGTTGCTCAATGGTAACATTTTATTTAAAACAAAGCGTAATAATATGTTTGTACGAAACGGAAACACGATTTCGAGAATTAAGCGATAATGAAGGCGAAACGTTGCGGCATAATTTCATGGTATAATATGTAATTACGCATTTTTTAAAAATTGTTTAATGTCGCAGATGAATCATTTGATGACAGTTTATACAAGGTATAAACACGTCTGCTTTCAATGTCAAGAATCGGTAACTACTGAATATTATACAACTTATATAATTGAAAACGACCTTTATCTTGATAATACCACGCAAAATTAATCCTGGCGCTCAGTTCATTAGGCAAATCAGCACATAGAACTGATTGCGTGCAGTGTTTTATTAAATTTACTTGATTTCAATTCACCACAGTGCGCAGTTCAACCTGGCTGTTCAAGGTAACGCATAGCCACATGCTTTGGGCAATGCATGCTCGAATTATCAGGTTGTGAAAATAGCTATGAAATATACAACTATTTTTAATGGTTTTATTGTAATATCATTATTTATATAACCATATAACTAAAAATTCTAACATTTTGTATTTGTATTTTCAATTTGGACGTCATTTATTATAATCGCTTGCGACTCTAGCAAAAAATGGCATTCATATATGCAGCATCCCATATCCAATGATTGTGACATCGTACTTCCTTTGACGTTTGAGATCAACAGTCGTCCGCATTAGCGCAATGAAGATATTGATTGGTTCGTCGTCATCTCGTCCAAACATTAAACGATTTTCTATAAAATAAGTAAATTCAAGTGTTAACTTCTGAACATAAATTTTCGTACAAAAACCCTAGGCTATCAGTTTTTTGAGAATTTTGACATCTTTGTGATATTTCTAGAGTGCTTGTAGAATTTGAGTTCATCCCTATATCATTGGAGTATAGTATATTTTTACCAATTTTTTGAAATTTAACACACGAATATTTCGAACATCACACTTGGCCACCGCTTTAACCATTACCCATTAATTTAGCTATAAAATTAGTGGCAATATTTATCAAATTCTTGGAACTTGAATTGCCATTCAGTAATAATGAGAGCTCGACGAAAAATAATGGGAAATATATTGCATGGCTAATGTAGTTACAATTATCAATTAAAAAAAAAAACGGAATGAATGTAGAAATCAGCAAACATTGTCACATTGAATTAACAAAGATCCATGATTATTATAAAATTTAATGACTCTGCGGGGTTCACTGCGATCAGTGTTCCAACCATCAAAAACCGGTATTGTTTTCGGACTTGCTACTAGAATACTGTAAATTTCCTTAATGTTCCGCAGTTTTAAATGGTTGTTTGTTAATATTCTGGGGCTTTCTTTCATTTACTTCTGAACCTCCAAGCAAAACTAATGTTAATTACATGTAATTTGCGTTGCGCGATGTTAGTTGTTTAACTATCGATTAGATGGTTTAACTACCAAAGGCCTCGCTCATCAATAATAACAGCGCTCCAACAATCAAGTTGCTAAAACTTGCTAATGTTTATTTAATTATTTGGATCTTGGGTGTCGCTGCTTGATAACCATCTTTGGTTCCCCACAACTTCCTTTCCCCATTGAAATGTGTATTCAATATTATTCGTTTGAGCATTGCGTGTTAATTTTGTTTTACTGGATGGAAAAAATAAACTTGACTATGACTTTGTAACCTGTTCCAACAATTTATCATAGCAATCAGAAAAATCTTTGTAAATTGATAATACTGTTTGATTAAATTTTTATGCTTAAAATCGAACAAAAATGAATCTAATTATTCCATCATGGACTTTTTGACTATTATTGCCAATAACCAATGGGTATTTTTATTGAAATTCATCCATATATAAAATAACAAAAATTGCGGCCAAAAGCACCATCATAATAATAGTCTTAGCTGCATTTATCACTGCAAAAAATGTTACTTTGCCAATAAACATGAAATTATTTGACGTCATATTATATCGAAACAAATCACTTACAACATTTATTGTATTTATTAATCATTTTGGTTATTCAAGTCAAAGCATGATGATATTCTCATCCAAAATTTTCCTTTTCTCCGGTTGATTAAATACTTACAACACGAAAATGTGTATTTTCGTCTAACAACGAACTTTTAAGGAGTTCATAACTATGACAATATATTAAGATTGTGCCTATTCATTGTTATCGATGATTACTTCTTGTGCTGATTTAAATAAGAGCAAAAATATGTTATGAAACGATACATTTGTCAATAGTTGATATGGTGTTATATAAAAATCCGTAGTATTGTTATGCACTTTTGTTGAGCATATAGTATGAGCAATCCAATAATTAATTAGCCAGTTGGCTAAAATAACGGAAACACAAAACGAGAGCTGAAATATTATTGTTGTTCGACACGATTAAACCAACCGATTGGATTTCCTCTTTCTCAAATTGAAAATGTTGCTTAATCCTTAATTGAACATTTTAGGACATATAAAAACGTATCTGTCATTCCAAATATTTTGAATTCCGCCAATATCTTTATGGTATGTTAGTTACAGATTCCAGAAGGATCACAATCCGAAAATAGAGTCAATTGTCTTTAATTATAGTCATTCGTTTTGCCGCCAATAACAAGATGGTGATTGACGTCATCTAATGATGATAAGATCTATTTTTCAGTCAACATTTTCATAATGGCAAAAGAGGTTTCATATACATATAAGAAAAGAACCTATAATTCCGCTTATGTAATTATGACAATATATAAGCAGGTTTATAAACGACCGAAAAACGAAAACAAAAATGTCCAAGAAATAAATTGCTAAGGCAATTTTAAGCTTAAAATGAGTTTTCTTGAAATGTTCATACATCTTGATAAACTTCGATTCAAATGTGGCACATTCTCAATGCGATTTTCAAACAAATTGTTAGAATTGTTTATTTGCCAGTTTCGAGTAATTAATATCACCTAAGAATATTATATTGTTGACATATAGAAGCAATGAGGATAATTAGCAGTAGCAAATTTTTGTTCTATATTAATAATATGCTTTTCTATTGATCATGTTATGATATAATAATTATTTCACACCAAATCTACTTGTATTATATAACTAAAATATTACATTTGTATATATACTTTATGTGAGAAGAGAGTGCTGGAAGAAATTAAAGACTAATATAGTGGTTATGTATAGTTGGATTTGATATAAATATATATATTGTCATTGTATCTTTAATATCTTGAGTTCAGCCACTCCATCCTTTACTTTCGTAATCCAACTTTACCTTCTGACTGCTTTTACAAAATATCCAATACGCATTAGAGTGGTGGATCAACATTTTAGTGGAACGTTTTGAAGAAATTCTGGAATTTCTGAAAAAAATTAACATAACCTTTGCGATTAGGGTTAGTTTTGAGAAATGATAGTATTTTCTATTTGGAGAAAGTTTGATAATTATCAAATTGTTGTACATGACTCGTTATAATATCAGAAATATTTTATTTTCATGTGTCCAAACCATTCAAGGTTGCATTGTACTTGATAATGTTACTCAATCGATATATATTCTCCACCAGTACCGATGTGCTAGAATTCCATCCAATGCAGCAAAGTATAGGACGTAAACCAAAGCTATTTTGTATAGTGTTGTCTTCATTGGATCATCGTCATAACTTTATTTTTTACCATTTTTAATATAGCGGTTCTACGCGCCTTTAACTTCGAAAAACAGTCATGGGCGATATGTAAGGAGCTACTACATATTATTTGGGGGGAAATGAATCTATCCGGTTCGGCGGCATTGTCTAATCAATTCATTACACTTTGAGTGAGTTAGGCGCATAATGGGATTGAGCCCAAAATGTGTAATCTGCGATGCCAACAAAGTTAAGTTTAACACTTCAACGTTGGGCCAACGCGCCGCCCAAGTATAATCCACGAACTTATTCAATAGTTGTCTCATCTCCGTTTAGTTATTCAACTTTGTTACTATGTTCCATTTTATATTACCAAGAATGCTTGGGATACGTACTATAACTATAGGTTCCTCGAGAGGACGCACGTGGGTAAAATCTTAAACTTGTAGTAAACACTGATGGTTGAAGGTAAGACCTACGCCCAAAATATCCAGACAATATAATATAAAAATATATATAGATTTATATATCATGAGAATGGGATTTCAACACAACGTCAACGTTCAACCAGCAATGTTTTTAAACATTTTTAAAGGGAATTCGAGCAACAAGACTACATGGCATTTTTGCACAAGTAGCACCAGATTCAATTAAAGCTTCTTAGACGGACGGTATTTAGCAAAGTTTTTCTGACAACTTATTTCCGACGTTAATAACATCTGCAAGTTATCGATGCAATACAACGGAAGTGAATTTAAAGTCAAGTAACAATATATTTTGACGATGCATCGTTTATAGATGAAATTCAGTCTAGACAAGTTAAGTTGAAGAATAGTATCGTTGTGAAAAATATACAAATTTTTAACGCTGATTAATTGAAAAAGTTATATAATGTATTTTTTGTCGAATATACTGTTTCAACCTAGTAAAAATTGATTGCTGACCGCTTTACTTCACTATTTATTCGTTGTTATTTTGTTTTCAGTGAGAAGATAATTAATCACGTGATTTTTGTTTCAAAATTGACGGTTTTTGTAAATTCCAAATTTTGAATGTTGGTTGAGATTTTATAGATTTCTAACACCCATCCGTGAATTAATGACACCGTTACTATTATACTTCAATATTGAAACAAGTAATATTGACAAGGATCGATTGCAGTTTTAACTGATTGTAACTTTTTCCTGCAGATTTCCCAACATTTAAGTAGTAAATAAATAGCCACAAAGAATAAATAATCAATTTGGCAGAAGAAAGGTCCAGAGCTCTAATTGTAACCAAGAGTTAGATATAAATTCATTATATCTAATAATATAATTCAATTCCGTGCCAACATCATTTAGCATTGACGTCAGATTTATTATTTCGCGGAGGCCATATTATTTCACTTTAATAATTTTGTGTACAGTCGATTTTCAATATATGTAAAATGCCGGCGTTTCTCCCAAGTGACAATTAAAAATCAATGTGCTTTTTTCGATGCCAGAACATTTTCATGTCGATTCATCATCAATTCTACAATTATATATTGTGATTTGACGTCATAATGTTAGCAGTCCTGTCTCAGACGGAATCCCAATTTAACATCATCAATCTATTGGCAATAAAATGAATAATAGTGTAAGAAAAAACTTTCCAAAAAACGAGAGAATAGTCAAACATGCGTGTGGTTATTTTTATTATCTCGTTTTAACGTTCTCTCGGTCTAAAATAATGCTAACATATTTGCCAAGAGACATATAACAACTTCTTTTTTCATCGTGTAAAACTATATAAAGGCTGCAATTCACAGTTGCACACCATCTTATGATTGCAACGTAGAGGAAAACGGACAACTCAACTCAGAGGAACTTCACGTCTAAATACATTCTCTAAATCAACAAGGTTCGTACTTAGATTTTTGCGACTGAGCCAACGTTTTTTACATTAAAAATATTAAAAGTTGAATTTTACTTTACAGATGCACTCTGTTCTTTCTACCGCATTAATTGTTGGAGTTTTGATCGGTTACGTTGCTGCAGCATGCTACAGAGAAGTCGGCTGTTCAAGCACATGGGGCAAAGGAAGAACTTACAGAATTGGACAAAGGTGGAAACCAAAATCGGACCCATGCTACGTCTGCAAGTGTGTGAAAGCAAAGAAAATTGTGGTAAGGAGAAAAGTATGATTATACAGCCCCATTTTAGTTGTGTCGTTTTGATATGTACCAATTAGGAAAGTGCAAATTTGACAACGGCTGGTAAAACTTCATAATTTACTTTCAATCAATACATGAACAAAAACATTATTTAATCTTGGGAATATCTTAAGAGACGTTTGTTTGTCAATTGCTAATATTTAAGTTGTTTCTCTACAGCTAAAGTGTCAAGTTGCAATTGACGAACATCCAAAAACTGTCAAAAAGAGCCTATTATCTGCACGTTTTGAATCCATGTCCGTGAATGCCAAAAACGAAGATATAAAAATTACAAGAAAAGAAGCAAAAACCATAGAATGTCCTCCAATTCGTGCGCCGATCTACAACTGGGCTACTGGTACTTTTGAACCAATCACATACAAGAATGTCTACTATTATTACATACGAAGAGTGTCAAGTTGCTGTAGCAGGTTAGCATTTTTTTGTATAAAATGTTTGTAAAATAGTTTCCCCATTACCTATATGTTAGGTATATACCAAAAACATATGTTATTGAGATACCAAGAGTGTTCTGAAGCTTTTTCGCATAATATTGTTTGTACTTCGGACTGTACAAAATAGCTCAGGATCATTGGTGCTTTTAAGATGAGGCGCTTGGTAGTTTTACTTTTATTTTTATTTACAACTCAGTGATATTGCTTCTGAATTTAGCATGTGTATGTCAATGTAACATAACATTTATAAAATATGGTTCCAGATGGGAATTGTATACAAATTAATCAAAGTGTTATTAAAATCTTACGCCAGATCTTACGATACAATGTGGTCAAATTCAAAAATGTAGTGGGGAATAACTTATTCCTATATTTTTCAGGTTTATCGGCTACACAAGTGTCCACCCAGCCTGTAAAGTCGTCAAAATCAGCAAGTGCAGATCAAAAGCTGTCAGAAAAGATAATCCACAAGAAAGATGCAATCTTTCCATGCGCTACGTCGGGTGAAAATGGATTGTGACGTTTTTCCAAATGCGACGGGCATTTAGTTTTTCAACAAGAAAACGTGCGTTTTATTGAAGCAGGGTACATGCAAATGTTATTTCTGCAAGAGCCTAATGCATTGTGGCAACGTGAATCAAGGAAAGAAATGTACAAGAGGTCAAAAAGCGAGGAAATTGTCATTCAGCGATTTAAAAATTATTGAATAATTGTTTCTATTATTTTTATTTTTATGTTTTAATAAATGAGGGAAAAGATAATATTTTGTTGTTTATCTTTTTAAAACGAATTATTGTGTATATAGTTGATCATGAGGGAATTGATCGCTTGGTATAATATCCAACGCCCACACCACACCTTCTGAACAGATGTACATGCATGTCCATGTAAAGGGCCTGGCATGAATAAGGCAAATATGGGCCAATTATGATATTCAATTTTTCAACACGAACTAAGTTTGAACACACACATAGCCACACGAATAGATGTTATACGCCATCATCATGACAATAAGTTCCCTAATCTTTGCATCCACGTACATTCGCACCCGTAAATTGCACTAAGGACATTTGCACCTGCATAGTCTTACACCCACCCACATCCAGAGACATTTGCATCCATACATTTGTACACACAAATTTTAGCATCCGCATATAGATTGCATCCGCTTACATTTGCACTCATGGACATCTGTACCCATGTACATTTGCACCCTCGTACATTTGCATTTGTCGATGGGTGGAAAAGTATACAGGTCGAATGTCCTAGATGCAGTTCACGTGTGCAAATTTAATAGGGTGCAGATGTGCTGTCACCTGTCAATACCATGGTAATATGAGCGTTGTTTACCACAAAAAGTATCCATGTATGGATTTGAGCTATTATTAGTCGCACGTGGTTCCAGGCACGCTATGGTTTTTGTTTGTGTTCAATACAAATTTAACCGTAACGCTGTGAATAGCACTACAATGAACGGCATGTCAATGATGAATTGATAAGCCAGAAGTCCGTAGCATCAAAGTTAATCTGTGTAGGTAGAGCAAAGGGTTTAAGGTTTAATTAAAACTTTTAGATTTGTATATGTTTTCGCTGTCCCGGCAAAAATTGAATCTGTCAATCAGCAAATATGTTTTAGGTATGGACAAATATGCATAACCAGGAAAGACGTTGCCTCTATATGAAATATATATATTTTTGGAGAAAGAAAAATTACATTTCAAGATATCATATTAATTAGGGGCAAAAGTATACTACGCGTAAAGGATGTAAAACAACAAATGACAAACAACTTTAGCCACGGAAAAATTCCTTTGCCAAGTCGACAATTAAGATTCCTATAATTTCAATCTCCAATAATCCCCAAGTGAGCGATTGCTTCTCTATAGCAATGGTCTTCATCCTCTTTGGTGGCGCGAAACTCCAATAAAACATTCCAGAGAATCAAAAAACGCCTGTGTAATATATATTTGTAGGACTGTAAGTAGAACTGAAATGCAAGCATTACACTTGCAAAACAAAGTTATCAATAAAATGTAGAAATAATAATAATAGTGGCAAACGTAATTGGCATTTAAATATATTAAAACAATATAGATATATATCTAACGTCATTAACAGCAGTCGCAAACCTTGAATAAGCCTAAATCATCGCCATATTAGTTAAGCGACAAATGGTTGAGAAATAATATTCATCGAGCACAAAGATTTGATTTTCTGTACAAAGCCCCCACCTCTAATGGAAAAATGAGATATTTGAGAAAAACACGTTGTAAAATAAGAAATTAGTATTAGTAGTAATTAGGAAATTAGTTATCTAGTTGGGTTAGGGTTGGTGTTAGGTATGATTTGAAAATTTGAATTCCCAGCGCAATCTGCATTCCTAACCCGAACCCTAACTAGATAATTACTAGTTTCTTATTTTACAACGTGTTTATACAAAGGGTCCTTAAAATTTTCAAAGAAAAAAATACGGCTTTATTAAAGTTGTGCAAGGGAATTGAAAAAAAAAAACCTAGGTAGAATCGTGACGATATAATTCTACTAATTGGTGTACGGAGAGGACATGTAAAGATATATCGTATAAGCTGAATATCTTATTGCTGGAAATATTTTGACGCACTATAATCATGACATACGTGCCACGATCTCGTTAGTTTCACCTTAATTTCATGCATATACGCTGAGGACATTATACCGGAAAATTAATCATTCAATGGAAACAGAAGTAAATTACAAAAAATGTGGCAAATGGGTAAATTGAACTGAAACTTTAAAATTAATGCCGAATTAATATTTAATGATAATGCAATTTTTTTAGTCCAACCACATTATCAACAACCCACGTGTTGTGTTGGTATATTATGTGATCATTTATTTAAGTAGAACGCAAAAGAAATAACTCAAGAAAATGATTTCCCATGGTATACCAACTTCTAAATTTTGGCAGCAATAATATTGTTTTTTTCAGGTATGGCGATCCACAAACCTCGGGTAAAAGTTTACACCTTGCACCATTTCCCATTTCCGTGAATCATAATCGCAATCGTAATTCCAAATAATTTAGAATTTAAAGTTATTATTCCAACTTTATTGGCCATCTTTGAATGCGATATATCACGAAGGTGAATTTTATAAAAACAAAATGTACTAAAAGATGCGTACATTCTAATGCGATTATATAACGTTCGTCGAATTATATAGGATAGGGGAAGTCCGTGTTATATAGACTAGAGAAGTGTTGCTTTACACGCTTCTACAAACTGTGTGCGTAAAATCAGCCTGCAAAAATTTCCTTATCAATATTATCTATTTCCCTTGCGTACTAATGAATAGACAACTAAAATGTTACCTTTAATATAAAATAAAAAGAAATGAGGCGTGAAAGAACGTAAATCACATTAATTTTATTGGTATTTTTCTGAAAACTCTTAAATATTTTTCAAAACTCTAGGCAAACAGACTATCACTTATATTTTATATATGTATGTGTCAGGTGGATAGTGCAATAGTCTAAACATGGATGAAATACAGTATGATCAACCAGCTGAGCCCGAGAGATCTCTTCATCCAATCATAAATATCGACATATTTCACATTTCGTACAGATTACTTCTATTCATTGCCTTCGTTTGACATCAGCTTTAAATATTAGATCAAGTTTAAATATTGGATGAAATTGTGTATAATTTATTAATCTTAAATGACAAACTAACAGTTTTAAGAAACCTGAATTATGAGTTAATTTGACGAGTGAACTTGTTTGTCGAAAAAGAAAATTGATCAAGTTTCAATTCGTGCGATTTGCAGCAGTTGCAAGTCACAGTTGTTTGTTAATTAACAAATATTACTTTACCATTTTAGGACAGCTTAATCATTGAAAAAACATGAAATTACATAAGAGGTCATAGTTTCTGATACCTGAAGTACCTGCGAATACCAAACCATCGGTGCGGTAGCGTAATGTGCGCCTCACAAACATAAGAAATTTAATAATTCTTCCAAATAACATAACTAATTATAGCTATACAAATACAACTATGTAACGTATAAGGCAACTTCTTTCAATAAGATAGAATCTTCTACAATATTGATCGTCTTCTAAAAGGTATTTTAGTCCCCCAAACAAATTTTATCAAACAAATTTTAATAACAATACATAACAACGAATATCTATTTATTGAAACGATTTAATGCCGTAAAAAACTCTGATTTGAAGACGTTTTTGTTGGACCAAATTTGAAATGTTAGGCTTCAAAGGAGAAATAGCGATGTGCATCACTGAATCTATATGCTCATTTAGTAAACGAGTCCGTAGCTGGAATGATTGAGAATGCCTGTTAACAACTGTACGTGCTTGCAAATTAACAATTCCAGACTTTTTCATTTCTCAACAAAACTGGATAATTCTCATATTCGAGGCGAGAGTAGAACTCAAGTAATGAATTTTGTTGGAAAACATCACGCAAAACTTGGTTTGACCTCAAATCCAGAAGTTCCAGTTGAGCGTCAGCGTCTTCAATATATATTATTCAACATCCACACTGAATGGTCTTTGAAATAAATTCATTTGCGCCTTCCGGTCATTGAGATCTTGAAAGCGTTTTGAAAAGATTTGACGAAGGTCACCGCACATTATGGCATAGCCTACTTCTCAAAGTCAGGAACCAAGTTTGCCTTTTTTTGTTTCAAAAACAAAGACGTACTTTTAAACTGGATCGTGTTGCCAGTTGATAGTTGCATTATGATACATAGGTTGTAACTATGCTGTGTATTATTTATCAAAATCGTAATATCCGGCAACCGAGTATTGTCACATAAGTGCGTCAAAACATCATCACCATTTTTGGTCTTCAGTGTTGGACTCTTTTCCTGTAAAAATATTTTGATTTCTTCAAAAAGGCTAAGAAAGCGCTGCAAAATTCTCCCTAGACTTAACCAGCGAACTTGAGAATGATGCACTAAGTCCTTGTATTGTGTATTCATTTCCAACAAGAATGCTCAAAATTGGCGGTGCTTCAATCCTTTCGACAGAATTTCATTCACACATTTCACAATAACGCCCTTAACATGGGTCATCTTTATACTTTGAGCACAAAGAGACTCTAGGACTAGGTGAATGAAGAAGTGAATGGTAATAATGTCCTATATGAAAACAGATTCTTGCAAGTACTTTTCCAATAGCGCCACCGCACCGTTTTCTTTACCAGTCATAGAAGCTGCCCCATCTGTTATCAATCCAACTAATTTTATAGTGAAACGCATTCAACACATCTTCTTTTATATCTACCCCACCTGTTGTGTCATAAAGAGGAATAAGTCCAACAAAATCTTCATAAGCAGATAGGTCTTTTACTACAGCGCGAACTGATAATTGCTCAGTATCACTCATATCACAGCTTTTATCAAAAGCCAGTGAAAAATATTCGAAGGTATCTACTTTCGATTGCAGTTGTTTATTAAGATTTTCGCCAATTTCTTCAATTCTTCTAGCAATGATAGTTTTCGAAAGGCTGATTCTCGAACAAACTCGCCATCTGCCTGGAATAGCGAGCAACGTCTTCTGCTAAAACATAAGATGCAACGATGGCGTTTCCATTTTCCCCGATGGGCTTTACAAATACGCCCTGTTGCACGCCCAGGGAATTTTTTAGTTTCAGCACTTAACTTTCTCTCGGCTTTCCGACAGTTTTATCATATTTGTGTTGATGTAGCGCGTTATGGTGTCTCTTCACATTGAAGGCTTTTGAAATAGAAAAAGTTGTG